AGAATCTTGTACCTTTACATGATATGCCTCGGTTCTTATTTTTTTCCTCATACCCAACTCTGTCTTTCTGATATGGAAATTCACCACTATCAATTTCCCTCTTAGGACTCCTTTCATTGAGTCCCATAAATTCTTGTATTTTATATTGGTATTACTGTTTAATTGATCCAAACTGTCCCAACCTATGTTGATTAATTCCAGCACAGCAGTCATAGATTTATAGTGGGGTCATGGATAATCCCAGCAAGGATGTATATCCCAGAAACCTTTAGATCCATTGAAGTTCTGCCTGGTCTCTGGCTGTGAGTCCGGAACCCAATTTGTTCAGCCTGCAACACTCTGTGTGTCTCCTGCTGGATTGAACTTGACTCCCTGCAAGCTTGAATTCAGCTCCTTGATCTCCTGATGGCTTGAACTTTGTTCTACCTTACCCTGACATTGGGAGCTGCTAGATGAGCTCTTCTGAGTTCCGAGGTCCATTGGCCCCATTCCAAGATGGCTATTAGCCAACTTAGACATCCCAGGGGATGGCTAAACCTGAATAACTCACCAACCATTGCAATCCACTGCATCCACTGCTCCATTCCACTGGTGCATTTCTCTGTGTAGGCCTTTGGGGTTGTCAGTAGTCACCATACATCTGCAGATTTGATCTTCTTTTTCCACACTGTGAGTCAGGGCCCAGGGAGAAAGTGCCACCTGCCACCTCCTTCTTCTGCATTGAGGTCTCTCTCTTCACTCTCCCCATGGGCTTCAATTTTTGCTTCAGATCCTTTTTGGGTCCCTGGGTCCCATTTCCCTCCTTCTTATCTTCCTTATGTTGTTATAGTCCAGCATCACCAAATCAGTTTCTCTGGTGTTTACCACTCTTCCATCTTCCCAGAAACAATGCTTTTGATTTCTAATATTTCTTTTTGATCTTAGAGTTCACATCTATCTGCTTACAGCATCCATTTGTTCTTGCAGCATTTTTATTACAGCATTTAACATGTCAATCATGGTTATTTTAAATCTGTCTCATAATACCAATCTCCATGTCATATCCATGTCTGGGACTGATGGTTTCTTTTTATTTCTTTGGGCTGTGTTTTCACTTACTGCTAGCATGCCTTGGAATTGTTTTGTTGAAAGATCATTCCCATCTCAAGTAATAGGAACTAAGGTGAATAGGCCTTTAGTGTGACATTTATATTAGTCTGGCTAAGACTGGGATATGGTGAATGTCTAGCTATAGATACTAGGGGTTACAAATGATTCCAGTATTCTTTTTTTTTTTTTAATCTTCCCTCTTCACTTTAGGTTTTCCTAAATATTTCTCAGAAAGATTGTGTACCTTGTACCTCTCTCGGCTGTAATTCATGTTATTATCCTGGTTACTATGGTAGAAAAGTACAGTGTTACCTCAGTTCACAAACTTAATTTGTTCCACAGTTTTGGAAAAGATGGCCACATTTGTTTTCATGTGGGAAAGCTGGACATGTTCATGTTTATCATTTGATGTAGAGTTTTCAAACAAAAACAAATTTTGTCAAATGTTTTTGTTTGTGAACCAAATTGTGAGCCTGTGTCCTCAGCTGAGATTTCACAAGTGTCTTCAGCATTTGCCCTGACTTAGGTAAAACACAAATGCTAGAATATGTTGAAATGGAAAAATATACCTACCCCAAACTGGGCAGACACTGAAGAAAAGTAGGCCTTTGCTGTGGAAAAGATTTGCAATATCTCAAAAGGTTATTCTTCCTCTCTTCTTGCCAGAGCTACAAGACATCTTTTTGGGATTATGTCCTTGAGAACTTGGTACCAATACTGGAAGCAAAAATCCATGAAAGTGTAGAAGCCTTCTGAGACTGGGCTCCAAAACCTTTTATTAGTTTCTCTTGCGAGTCCACATTGAGTTTCCAGCAATTCAGCAAAATTATCATTTAAATGTTCCCAGGCCAGGGATTTAGCTCAGTGGTTCTGCCTTCCTGCCTCTCAAGCACAAGGTCCTGAGTTTGATCCCTGGTATCAAAAAAACAAAAACAAAAATAAAAACCACACACACAAAAGAAACCCCAAAACATTTAAACATTATCACCATTTTATAGCTTAAGCATCTTCCACTCCATATAATCAGATTCCTAAACTTACGTACCTGCAGTTCTCTGATAGATTTAGGAACGGTTGACTTAGTTTGATTAGCTGTTTCCTGTTGCAAACAGCAGTGATGATTTCCAAGCTTTATCAGGTTATTCCTGAAAGTTCTTTCTGGGATTACTAATTGATTTTTTAAAATTCATGTGTTTTCTTCTTCCTTATCCCCCGTTCCCCTATTCTTATTTATTCCTGTATGTCATATTCTCTTGTCTTTGTTGTTATTTTTTGTTTGTTTTTGAGATAGGGCCTCTCTATATTGTCCATGCTGGCCTCAAAATTACTATGTAGCTCAGCCTGGCCTTGAACTTGAGATCTTCCTGCCTTGGCCTCCAAAGTGTTGTGATTACACGTATGTGTTACCGTATCCAGCTCCTGCTCTTCCCCCCCCCCATTAAGTTTATTGGTACATTTAAAGCAAATAATACAGTTACATTTATCATTGGGATCTTGTACCTTTACATGATGTATCTTGGGTCATATTTTTTCCCCATACCCTTGTCCTCCCTTCACCCTCTTCACCCTTCCCTATTTACAAAGACCCTGCTCTTTTTTATAGTCAGTCCTTTCTCTCTTTCTTAAACATACTATAATTACTTAGTCACTTTCAGGTTGGTTCATTTGAATAATGAATGCTTGTGGAATAATAGTTAATAATCACAAAACTACTATTATAATACTTAAACTTAATTATAACTAGTTAATATTTATTTCCAAGAATAAATTGATCTCCTGAATTTATAAGCTAACTTCCTTGAATTTAATTTTTCTATTTTATAATTTTGATTTGTAAGTACATCTTGTAGAATGAAGTTATTTCATTCTGTTTTATTCCCTCTCTGATATCATCTCTGTGCAAGATGAATATATCACGGAGGCCCACTGAGTTCTTAGTCCAGAGCCCCTCATGTTACTGGACACTTGCAGTGCCCATCCTCTGGTGATATTGAGAATGGTGACCATGGTATTCACTCACTGTGGTGGGCAGTGGTAGGGTGTGTTTGTCTTTTCCTTCACTACCTCATGAGCTTTTCATTTGTTTCCATTTATATTTTTAATGTATTTTTATACTTTCTACTTTATATTTCTGATTTATGCTGAAATTTATTTCATTTTGGAGAGTGGGTTGTGCCTATTTTCCTCTTTAGAGCCTGATATAGTATCTAATAGAGTAGATTTAGGGCCTAAAGCCATTAATCCATAATGCCTTCTGGCCTAGAAGACAGGGTTCATTTACTAAGAAATATGCAAAGTCAGTCCTTGTGTACCCATTTTATAAATACAAGGAAAGGTTTCTATGATTGAGTTAAAGGTATTCCAATGGCCCATGTGTGAAAGGCCCATGTGTGAGAGCCTTGCCAGGCTGTGTCTCTACTGGAAGGGAACAGAACCTTAAGAAGCCTAGTAGAAGGAGGTTAGGTCACTGGAGCTGTGCTCTTCAAGATGTTAGGACCCTGGACTTTCACTTCTCTTCTGTGGTGAGATTAGCATCGTCTCTTGCCAGGTTTTCCCACCATAATGTGCTTTCTTGCCATAGGCACAAAGCCAATGTACCCAAGGGATCATGGACTGAAACATCCCAAACTATAAGCCATAAGAAACCTTTCCTCCTTTTAAATGGATCATCTCAGATACTGCATCACAGTAAGAGACATAGAGGTAACGGGGATCAGGGCAGAACAAGGATTAGTATGTAGATGGTGCTGCAGCAAGTAGTTGATATTCACAATCATATTAAGGCTGTGATGTTTACAACTCAGCCTCTAAAATTTTTCTTGCTCACAACATTTAGAATCAGGCATGTGGAGGAGCTTTGTGGTGGGCAGTTCTGCCCATGACTTATCACAAAGATTTTGTTAAAAGCTGAGACAGTGGTTTTAGCCTATAATTTTTGGCCTCGGGCTGAGTTTTGTGACTCTCTCTCTCTAGCACTTTTGGCTCATTCAGATGCACTATGCAGAAAAATGTATGGAGGATTCATTTCCTTTTCCTCCGTCTTCATTCACACACAAGCATTTCTAATGAATTCAAGTCCACTCCTCTGGGCCTCTCTCTCCTCTGACTTCTTTCTCGGATTTCATCACCTAGAGACTAGAGCTCCTGTGCATTGGCAGGGCTGTAGTAGGGGTGTTTATGCTTATATTTTCCTTGAATTTTATGGCCTTCATTACCCAACACTGCATGAAACTGAAGAAAACACAGTTGGCCTGAACCCTGGAGCCATCTGTTCAACCTGTTCAAGATATTGATGGTTGACTGTTTACTAAACAGTCTTCCCTGAGTGGCAGCCCCAAAGGCGGAGGCTGGGACTTCTGTTAATCATTAGACATTTAACAAACATTTGGGGCCCTTGCTGGCTTTGCTATCATTGCTTTCAGAAGCAACTGTTCTGTACTCTGCCACCAGCCACAAAACAAGAGAGGGATGTGTGCAGTGTTTATTCTGGGGATTTCAGCAGGGTGGGATAGCCACTCCAGAGTTGTGGTCATTCTGTATGAGAGGTGACATGTGTGTGCTTTTGTTGTTGACTTTATCTTTGCCAGCACACGTGGGTGTTGGCTGGGAAGCTAGACTCTAGGGTGGAGTGAAGGTTTGCTTTGTTGACAGTTTAATGCTTGGAGAGACATGTGCTTTAGTGAGCTCTCTCCCTTGAGACTTTTGCCCTTTCTCTAATCCTTTGCATAAACACTGCCTTGAAAACAGTTTATGAATTATCAGTGAAGGCATGTGAAACTGTTGGTAAACAGTCATGAGGAATAACATTTACTCATGGTCAGATTTCTGAGCCCATGCTTCTTTTTGATGGGATTTACTGTGTGATGCAAATTTTTGTGAAGTTACACACACAGGTTGGATTTTTCTGCCTGATTCTTGTGGCAGATTAAAGTTCGTGACAGAAATGACAAATTAACCTTGAGAATGTTTCCTTATTCCAAATAGCAATATCTACTACTCGGTGTTTGAGAATAGAAACATAATCATGAAGTTGCAGAAAGTTGGATAGAAGCAAAGGCAACCATATTTTTGGTTTAGAAAGGAAAGAAAAGCTTGGAGGCAAATGTTCCTGAGATATAGTGAAATGATGAAACCAGCTGGCATGGCTATTCAGAGCAAGCTGGTATGTATCTCCTCCCAACTTTCTTTCAGATTGTTAATCTAAGATGGACTGTGGTCAGAGTCTTTACTTCATGGAAACTGGCTGATCTTACCAATCAGGGCTTTTTCCCTGGAAAGCCAGGTGGAGAATTTTTATCAGTGCACCACTATATCAAAGAGTAAGACTAATTCTTAATTTCACTTCCAAGGAGTGTGAGACATTATATTATTTCAGAAATAAAGATGTGGCTGAATTGAAGACATATTCTTGGAAAAGTAATCAGAGTTTGATTCTATGATATGCCTAAGTCAAGAAATAGAATCTCAATTTAAACTGACCTTTTTTTTTTCTCTTGGAGAATGCATATTATATGTGAAATAAGAAAAACTGAGAGAACTGATGGAAACATTTACATGGTAAGCAATTTCCAGATCTTATTCATTATATTCTCCTTGCAATTATTGGTGTGGTTAATTGTATTAATTTACTTATTTAATTACAACATTTATTGAGTACCTCCCATATGCTATGTTCTTTCATGAACAAAAACACGGTTCTTGTCTTCATGGAGCTTCAGTCTGGTGAAAAAGATAGATAACAACTAAATACTCTTAAATAAATGTGTAATTACAACCTGCAGTAAGTTTTATAAAGACAGAGTATGGGCTAAAATATAACCTGACGTCTACCCTAAAGAGGTAGGTTTCCATGAGGAAGTGTGGATTAAGCCAAATCCTGAGGGCTGTTAGTAGTTTAATGGCTTTTTAGTTAGAAGAAATGTACATTTTCAAGAAATTAAAATAAAAACAGAGGGCAAGAGTACAGGGATGGTGATGGGCAACATGTTATAGTCATAAATTTATTAGGATAAATACAAATTGATGTTCAACTATTGGATAGATTGCTTTTTTGTTAATTACATTTTAGCTGCAAAAGGAGAACTAATTAGAAAAGGAAGAGAAAGGATGATAAGCTAGGGACTATTAGTGCTTGCTCAGGTGAGAGATAATTGACTCGGATCAGTTCAAGAGCAGTAGTGATCAATGGAGATACACTTAAGACATGTTTTGGATGTTAAAAAATAGAAGAGACCTGGTAATAGATTAATTATGAGATGGCAAAAGAGCAATTCTTGGCAGGGACGCTGCCAAAATTTTGGGCTCTGGAGATGGAATTGATAATTGTTCCATTTACTAAGATTAAGAAGTAGAACTGGGATGGACGCCATGAGTTTGGCTTTGGGTCATGTTTCAGTATCTATAATTAAGAGATCTAAGAAGTTTTTTGGATGTATAGATCTGGAGCTACATGGAGAGTGCCTGTTTCTAGGTGGTAACTGAAGCCAGTCATAAAGAGATCTTTCAACAGAAGACTATAGAGTCAGTAGAGGAAAAGGTCCATATAGAACCCTTAGAAGTTTAAAATGGCTTTGTAGGGAAGAATGTTCCTGCAAGGAATTGATGAAGTAGCCAGTGAAGTAAGAGGAAAACCAGGAGGTATAGTGTATGAGTGAGAGAGGGAACTTAATGAAAATGAGTGCAAAAAATATTTTTGGGAGGCTAAAAATGTTTGAAAACTGATTTATCATGATGTTTATGCCCCTTAGTAAAGTTACAAAAAAAGCACTAAATTGGACACTTGAAGTAGGTAAATTTTATGATACATAAAATATGCTTCAATAAAGCTTTAAAACAAAACTGTGACAGTATAGATGAAAGAAAATAAAGAATAGAATCTTTCAAAAAGGGCAGGAATGGTCATAACTTTTTTTCTTTTTTAATTTTTATTAGTACATGTTTGAAGACCACAAGATTTACATTCCTTGTGTGGAGTTGGGGTATGTACATAACACATCTTATTTTTTTCATTCCCTTTCCTTCTTTCTTTTCCCTCCCTTCATCACTTGATCCCCTTCCCATTTAGAAAGATCTATCTCCATGCTACCTATTATCTGTCTTTTATTTTGTTCTTTATTTATAAATTGGGTTTCTCATATAAGAGAAATCATGCAATATTTAAGATTGTGTATTGGATTTAATTTATTTCACTTCACTTAAAGTGCATCCAGCTTTCTACACATGAGTAGTACTCCACTGTGTATAAATAACACATTTTCTTTATCTGTTCATCTGTTGATGGACATATATAAGCTTTAGCTACTATTATTAGGTGCTACAAACATGGGTGTGCATATAGCTACTCCCCTTTCATCCTGAGAGAATTAAAGATATGCTGTTACAGTGGTCATGTGCTTTGAATGTTGATAAGTGAAATCTGATGGTGGCTAACAAACTGAGGAGTTTGAATAGATATTTAATGCAAAAATAATGATCCAAATATTGAGCGATGTAATACCATAAAAATATTGGCATGTATTTAAAAATGACATTTTCCTAGTTATAAAAAGATGCATATGATTTGGTTCCTTCCTGTTCGCAAATAAAGAGCCTAAACAGAAGTGTTTGTTATGCCCTTTTCATCATATGGCAACTGCGAAATTATTATGACAAGGCAATTCTATTCCAGCCGAAAGTCTTGCTTATGTGTAGTAAGATTTAGGCCTTACATGAGGTCAAACAGTACATTCACTCTATAATATAAAGAGAATATTGTAAAACTGTTGGTTTTTCTTTACATGATCTAATGGTTACAAAGTAATTATGTATTACATAATCAACTTTGTAAACATATGTTCAATGCTTTACCCAGGAATGACAATGTTTGATAAATATTTGTTGATGACACAAATTATAAGTTAGAAAAGTGAGAATATTCATTATTATTGAGATCTACAACAAAAATTACTAGAGTAGCAAAGATTAGAAAGAGCACAACATTATAACAAAAGACAAGATCAAGTCCATAAGAGTAAATTAAAATCTTTGTTCTTTTAGAAAAAAGCCACTAATTCTTCATTAATTTTATTTATTTTTCACTTTATTACCCAAATCATTTAAAACTAGTCAGCCCCAAATCTGCACATAAATGAATTCTTCTTATACCTTAGTCATCTGGAACTTATTTTGTTATAGATTTTGTCTTTTATCACCTCTGTTTCGACCTTTGACCTGAAAAATGATATTTTCCCCCTCTATTCCCTATCCTAACTGGTAGATTTTGACTTCTAGGTTAGGCTCTACTCAAGAAAGCAGCTAGGAAGGCAGGGATTTAGCTCAGTGGTTCTACTGCCTGCCTTTCAAGCACAAGGTCCAGAGTTTGATCCCTGGTACCAAAAAAAAAAAAAAAAGCATGTACATGAATTTCTTCAGCCAATCTTTTAAATATAGGTACTTACAAAGTCTGTTGATGTTTGATTTCTAGTTCCATTTTTTAATGAAATATTTCAAGTAAGTTTAAATGAGCTTTCCAAATTGGAGTTTAAATATTTAACTCGGGTCATCTGATATAATCTGAATTTCCTGGGCTCATCTTGTAGTTACAATAGCAACCCAATATTATTATATGAAAACAAGATATCAAGGACCTAGAGCAGAACTACAGTTGATGGAGATGTCACTGAAAGAGGAAGTTGATGAGAACACAGATGACCTAGATATGACCAGTTCTTGACAGAATTAGATAAGGATCAGCTTGTATAGAATGTTTGTGGTGCCCTTTTAAAGCTAACTGAGACAAAAGAGAAGAACCTGACTATCATTCTTCCCTGTGCCAGTTGGAGGAAAGACATGGTTTGGCTGGGTGGCCACTGTGCCCCTCCTGCTCACTTCCCTTCTCCTCCTGACCACCCCCCCCCACACACACGGTGGACTGGGACAACTTGCTTCAATGTCCTCCCTGGCTTTCTAGTGGTGTCCTGGCTATCAAATCACCATTCTCCACAGCCAGGAAGGCAACACTCCCATCACTTCAGACCATATGTTGCCTTTTGGAAGAAGGAGAGGAGCACCCTGGAGTGGCTAATGTCCGGAAGGGAAGGATCTAGGCCCGTTAATTCCATAAACAATATTCATAGCAAGCTTTCATCCCTGCCCCTCTCTGAAACAGGCCTGCAACTGCTATATAAGCCACAATCCCCAGCCACTTCTTGGATTTTAGTCTAGGAAGGTTCCATCCTGTTTACTAATACCCTGTGCTGTAACACAGGCCCTATTACAATAAAGACTTACTTCCGGTAAACCTGGATGTGATTTATTTCTTAGGTAGTATGGATTCCAAAAGTCCTGTAATCTACTTGGAATTTTTATCTTGAGTAGTATGGACAGAATGACTTTGTCCAAAGAAAAAGCAATAAATACTCAGAGCTGTTAACACTGGAAAAACTCCGGACACTAGCAGCCAACAAACTGAGTGGTGACAGTTGGTAGCAGTAGTGACCAGCAGCTGGCTGTGTCAGCTGTTGGCACCTAGCATTATCTGGTGACATCAGAATGGCTAGCAGAGCTGCACTTTGCCAATTCATGATTTCCTTTTGAATCAAGCAAAAGAACCCTAAGTTGATTGGCAGCATAACTACTTTACTGACATCTCTGCTATTGACATTTTCCTGTTTTCTATCTGGAAATTTATTCATTATGTTAGGAAAATTGTTCTGGGTTAGACAATTGGGGGGGTGTCCTTTGGGCTATGCAGCAGTCATGCAAGATTAGAGTTTTTCTCTTAACCCGGCTGATCAAGGCATTTCATTCGCTTTGTAAACATGCTGATTCTCATAACACACTAAGCATTTGAGATGGTGGTTGTCTTGTAGGTCCTCATACTTCTGCTATTACAAGTCAGTTATATGCTTATCAAAAGTCTATTGCTTTTTTCACTGTAATTATGCATTTAATTAGTATAATATTACAAAAGGATATGCCAAAGCACATAGAAAACAGCATTCCTAGGAAAATTGGGTTGAATGCTTTGGAAAGGCTCAGTAAGATGAATTGTCCCCAAATGCTGTTGTACAGTGTTGGATACAAACAAGACGATTTTAAAGACTGAGTGAGAAAGACATTATAAAAGTATAGTTCTTGTTTCAATTTTCTTTATATGTTCTTCACATCTCATTTCACATAAAAATTCAAAAATGAGAGTGTACAATACAATATGGATTCATTTATGTGAGAAATTTAACTCAGAAGATTGACTAATCAGAAAGCCGTACTCCAAGAAAAGGCTCAGGGTATAAATCTAAGGCCAGTGAAAGAATGCACATATAAATTCAAATAAGGTGTTTAAAGCATATATTGATAATTTTCTATAACTTTTCACTTTATAAGCTTTTATGAACCAATTAAAATAGTATAAGAAGTCTTCAACTACTCCTGTAGTTTCACAAGACAACTTCTGCTATTTTGTGTTAGTCAGTTTTGTATTGCTGTAACAAAATATCTAAAAAATTAATTTAAAGGAAGGAAAGATATATTTTGGCTTCTGGCTTCAGTTCATGGTTGATTTGCTCCATTACCTCTGACCTGAAGTAAGTCAGAACATCATGTAAGAAAGCTGCTCACTTCATGGAGGCCAGGATGGAGGGGAAAGGGGAAAGCAAAAAGGAGAAAGAGAGAGAGAGAGAGAGAGAGAGAGAGGACAAGCAAGTGCTAACAGGCACTCTCCTTTTTCCTCTTTTGTTCCATCTGAGTTCCCATCCTTTTAGATGGTGCTTTCCATATGCAAGATGGGTCTCCACATGCCAACATCTCGAGAATACCCTGTTAGATACACCAGAAGTGTGTCCCATATGTCTTCTAGGCATTGCTTGATCCATTAGAGTTGACAGTCAAGATTAACTATCATATATTTTTTAGGCTTTTTCAGAGATTGCATCTAAAGTTCATTATGGTGATAATAAAGGTGTGTGATTACTAAATTAGTCCACTGATTTGTTTCACATAGCTCTGGGTAGAATTAAGGGTACCCCACCCTGAATGTGAGTGCTACACACCCAAAGGACAGATAGCCTGGATAAAATATAAGGGAGAAAAAAAGGGTCACTGCTTGTTGTTTGTTACTTACCACTTATTGCATGTAGCTTGCTGCCTTCTGCCTTCCGCCTGCTGTGAACTGTTTCTCCTCTGCAATCACCTTCTGCCATGCCTTGGAGCCAGCCAACTATGAGCTAAAACTGCTACAAACTGTGAGCTAAATAAACTTTTCTTCTTTCATTTGTGGGTGTTGTGTATTTTGTATCAGCAATGAGAAAAGTAACTAAGATGGTTATATTCCTCCAAAGTGCTTATTTGACTCAGTAGATAATTTACCTAGCTAGATTCAAGTACAGACTGTCCTCTGGACAGTAATGGAAATCCCAGTTCATTTTATCCTTCTTTAGTTGGTCTAACTGTAATCTACCTAATGCATGCTTTTCTCAAGGATCAGACAGAGATTTATGCAAAATTTATACACAGAATTTGGATTCTTTCTTTTTCATTCTTTTCCTCCTCACTCACTGATGAATTTCTTGTAGAACTTTCACTGTTATTCCTCAAGACATTCAAGTTTAAAAGCCACACAGATAGAGAACTCATCCAGCTCTGTTTCCTTCTTCTAAGTGTCAAATCTTCGGTAGAGTCACCCACTCTGTGTTACTCTGTTCAGTATCTATAACAAAAATACCGTAAACCGAGCAGCTTACAAACAACAAAACTTTATCTCTTACAAGTCTGGACTCTGGAAGTCCAAGAAGTACCAGGAGCTGACAAATTAGTATCGGATGAGGATCTACTTCCTTGTTCATTGATGGCCTTTGTATCTATCTCCTCACTTGGTAGAAGAACAAGAGAGTTCTTCTGGACTTCTTTTAGAAGGGCACCAATGCTATTAATGAGAATTCTGCCTCTAGGACCCAAGCACATGCTAAAGGCCCTACTCTCTGATATCACT